TTAATACTTTCAAAAATAACTGATTACAAAACCAGTATGAATATAGGCTTACCTTGATACAATTTCGGAGAACTAAATCACATTGATCAGAAGACTTGGGAAAGCAAACGCCCGGTGAATCCATTACAAATAAATGCCTGCTCAACTGAAAAATCTGGGAACGCCTGAAATTGAATAAAAGATGTAAAAGATAATAAATAGCAATTATAGCGTAAGAAAGTAGCTTACTTAGTGATACCAGGAGAATTGCCAGCTATAGCTACTTTTCGCCTTTTGAGAGTATTGATAATTGAACTTTTTCCTGTATTGGGCAATCCGATAATCCCGACCAAAATTCTTTGCGACGATTCTATCGAGGGAGATTTATCGTCTTTATTTGCAGGTCTGTTTAAATATTTACGACTGTAATTGGTTATTATTGACAATAACTTGTTTACACCAAACCCTTTGCGTAATCTAAAATAAGTTGTTTTAAAAAACGTTCGTTCGAAATAACCCATGGTACGAGTAATGGAGTAATATAAGAAAATTTACGAGACGTCCTCTTCTGAATCAAAAAGCTTAGGATCCCAATAATTTGTAGAGCTTAGAAAACCCTTCTTCCCTTTTTGTGTATTAGCCTTGAAAGGAAGAACCGTGTACGACCTTCGTAGGTAATTCAGCCAGGCAATGGCATTGGACTTAGGCACAAGATCTAAAGAATATAATGCAGAATAAGCTTACCAATTTTATTTAAAATGAGAATAAGCTTTTTGTTTTGGATAGATGCGGTTGCTTCAGCTTCAAAGCACCTCGTCCCCATTGGATCCCGAGCATCGATAACTTCTATAATCAGATCGGATTCCTTAATCACATTTAAAAAATCGCTGGTGAGACAAGGCCGGTCTTTTTGGGTAGCCTGATTTAACTCAGGTTCCTTGAATTGCTTGAGACAAAGTAAATTTATGGAGCGTATCTGGTCAAACTAAAAGAACAGTAGGTATAATAAAACTAACTTTATTTTTTGTATCAACTACATGTTTGATAACATCTTCCTTGAAAGGTAAAGAATTCGGGATACCAGGGTCCTTGGCTTTGAGTACAGTAAATCTTGCATGAACCTACCCTTAAAGCGTTTTGGATTTTTCTTATTTTCTAAACGGAGTCTCCGGTGGTGCTCTTTGACCTAGTGATAATAACTTATAAAAATTTACTTTTTTTATTATTTTATACTTTTTTCTGCAAGAAAGACGTTTGCTTTTAGACCCTATGATATGTTTATCAAATCAGACTTACTTCTGCAAGCACGAACCATGGTCAACGCTTCACAGGACTGAATAGCCGCCGCAGGAATGTGTTAGATTAAACTACATCAAAATTTGCATAATAATTACGTCATTTTTTTTATTAAAGGCATTTATTAACAATTAACTACCTGATTTGCAGTCTTGAATATGTAGGTGTACATGGGCTTAATTCAGGTCTCGGATTTGAAGATTAAAGATTGGCACATTTAGATCGTGGATATGAAGAATAAGATGCTGTGATCATATCCTTGGTCGTATTTAGTGCGTCTACCCTCGTTTTCTTTGTAGTTCCATAAGAGTAAAAAGTATTTGTATCTGTTGTTACTTCCCTAATACCGTTAGTGGCTATTATTTTTTCCTATTACCGTTTTTATGCACGCATTGGTTATAATACTTCTTTAAGGTTGACTTAACGAAATATTGTTTATTGTTTCAGGTTAAAACAGACTGAATTTTGGTCCGACATATGAGGAACATCGTCAGAGCCTGAGCGAATTCTCGGAATGGCTTCAGTTTCTCATTAATAAAGACTTCTCTACTTTCATCTACGGGATCATAAATTTTTAGATGAAAGAATGCACAACTTACTTAGATACGTTAAGGCATACTAAATGGAAAATTAGATTTCAAAGGCGAATACTCATTGGTGATTAACGTGAGAGAAGATCTTTAATTTAATAATGTATAAAAAATAACGAAATAGCATCCATATCGCAATATTATTAGTGTAGTTTGATAAAATATGAAATAAAAAGTATAATTAATTGAGTGATTATTTAAAAAATATAAAACAATAATTAGCAATGCAATCTTCACCATGTATTTTTCCTTTCTTTTCTAATTAACCTTTATGAAGCAAGGTCTAATGCTTACAATGCTGTTGCGTGGATGTAAGCCTGATGATATTGCCAATGTTGAATAAAACATCTTAACCAGCAATTGCAGCATATGAACAAGGATATTGTAAAAAGGTAGTTTATAATTGATATCCAAGTCGATGATGTTTTTGAAGATGTGAAGGCCAAGATGTTGTGGCATCGGGTATGGTCGCAGTCTCCTTTCGACTTATATAAGTGGGTTGACCTCGTTGTCGCAACTTGGTCTTGT